AAAGAGAGAAACGGGGATATCTTTGTAACAACTGGTACGTCAGAGACCCTTGGGCCTTAGCAGGGCCCTGGTGGACAGACACGGCTCCGTGTTTACAGCAGACCCGCTTGACTCTCACACAGAGTTCAGTGCACAAAGCTTACGTAGAGCAGAGCCCCTTTGGTCGGAAGAGAAATTGACCCGAATTTGAATACTTGAGCTTAAAACTCTTTCAGGAGACCGGAGACGTCAGCGGAAAGGTTCATGCTTCCATAGCCTGTGCATCTGCCCACGTGCCTCACAGGACAGAAGCCCAGCAAAGAATTTAGGTGTTTGGTTAAAATCTGTTGCTCGTAAAGTGTCATTTTACCGCATGGTTCCCACACCTGGTGATGACCCGGGAAGGAGGCGTTCCCATGGCGATGGGTCCTTGACCTCCTTATTTCGGCCATTGGTGAGAAGCCATGTGGAGGTGGTTTCCAACATGCTTAATTATGAGTCAACTAGGACAGCTATAAAATGGTAATGACCATCATTACTGACCTTAACCGGCTTCAGAGGAACTAAGTGTCTGCTTCTATAGCTAATCTCACCGGCCATCCCAGCTCTACCAAATTATACAGAATTTGCAGCCATCAGAGCACCTACCTGTTAAATGTGTTTGGCTAAACAAAGAAATAGCCGGTAGTTGGCCTGCACCTTTCATTGATTTCATCCGGTTTTTGCTTTCTTTTTTGTTGGAATTGATTGGGGTGGCGGTAGTCCAGGCTAATGAAGACAGTTAAAAGGCTCAGCAGAGGCACCGACAGCAAGAATAACTGAGGTCTGTCCTGGAGGAGCCTGGTGATGAGGGCTGAGAATAGAATTACACTGCCCCCTTGTGGTTAAACATGGCACCTGCTTTTAAAGTAAAAGGCCCTCGGTTTTTCTCAAGATTGAATCACTTATTGATTAAAATCGTGAAAGGAACGGATACAAAAGTATCAGTGATTATGGAGCTTTTAGTCCGAAATAGTTATCCAACCCTACTTCTAAAAGAATCCCCAAGAGCAGTCCTATAAACTCAGGCATCGACCTTTCTCAGGGCCAAATGACAATTTCCCACAGTACTCTGAAATGATATAAAATTGCGGGGTGGGTGAAATGCCACTGCCTCTTGTCAATATCATGCATTAAATTACAGTCACCGGTCATGATTGAACGTCAGTGCAACCAATGGTGAAGCCTATTCTAAAACAAAAAAATTGATGTACAACTATTAAACTAAATCTATTTCATTAGTATTATGATCTTTTGCAACACATCTTAGTGGGGCATTCAGGTGCTGTAATAAATGTTTGCTGAGGTACGGTGAATGGTCATCCTTTGCTCTATGTTGAATAACTCATAGAATATTTACACATGTGGTCTGACAACGGGATATTTTTTAACTTTGAAGAAACAGTATTCTATAATTGAATGCAATTTTATTGAGACAGGTAGGAACAGGATGGAGAGAAATAGGCTTAAATATCTCCTTGAAAAAATCGTGAGAGATCGCCCCAAATTGTTCATGTATTTCTGCTGGTGTGGGTTGATGCTGGATGCTCAGGAAACATCTTACTTGATATAGGAATTAGCAGAAAATTAGCTGGCCCCCAAGGCCGGTAACAACATCAGGGACTCCGCAGCCTTGGATTATCTTTTCCACGTGGACCTGGTTGGTAAAGGCGCACAGTGTATGATATAGAAAACCCTCCCTCCTTCGGGGGCCCTTCCTTTTCAGGGTGACTCCTTACTTCCCGGACCCTGTGCCTCGCTGTCCTCATTCTCTCTCTCTGTCGCTAATCCTGAGAGAAGCCTTGAGTCTCAGGGAAGGACACCGATGCCCCGCCCTGCTCAAAATGAACTCCACGAAAGAACCCTGAACACTGCATTTAAGTTCAGTGAAACCAGTGCAGGAGGGTCCAGCCTTGGGGGGAAAGTCCATTCCACTTCTTGGAAAGCCCTGGACCATCCACACAGGACTTCCACTCTCATCTCCACCAAGCGGGAGGAATGTGGAAGTCATAACGCGTACATCCGTTATGGGTGTTAGCTCTTCTCTACACACATGGGGGAGGGGCAGTCCGTCTACACACGGTGAGGGGGTAATCTACATATGCGGTGGAGGGAGGGAGTCGTCCATCTACACAAATGGGGCGGGGGAAGGGGATAGTCTACACACACGGTGGGGAAAGAGGGGGAAGTAGGCCGTTTACACACACTGGGGGGCGCAGTTCATCAAAACACACACGGGAGGGCTAGTCTGTCTACACACATGGTGGGGACAGTCCGTCTACACACACTGGGTTGGTGGGGGGAGGCAGCCATGTCTCAATAGTAAATGAGCCACTAAAATTTAAGAAGGAGATGACCAGAGAAGAAATGGGCAGGAGAATTATGGAAACAGGAGACCAAAAAGAGAAAGAGACCAGGAGAGGAGAGTACCAGTGGTGCAGACCTTCTCTAAAACTGGAACAATCCCACCGGGAGGGAGGTCATGTGTGTGTAGACCCCTGGCCCCTGCAAGGGTAGGTGTTCCTGCTGCACTGCCACCACAGCTGTGACCTGTGTGGCTCCTGGTCGAGTTGCACATGGAGGTTTCTGAGAGGTGGAAGCTGCCCACGCAATTGGAGCCCTTACCCTTAGGGTACGATGTATTGATAATCTGACTCGGAACCAGCACCAGATGATGATCTTGCCTTTCACTGTGAGATTTTTTTGTCCACGATGAGAACTTTTGTAAAAAAGCATTTCTGTCAGTAGCTTTTCTGCAAATTCTGGTTGAAGGGGAGTGATCCAGGAGTTTTGACACATTTTCTCTGAGTTACATCCTTTATTCAGTAGCTGGTAATAATCGACTTTCGCCCTTTTTCTCCCCACACTGTTCTGCTAGCTGGAGCACCACATAATTCATTATATTCTATCGCCTCCCCCTGTTGAGAAAGAGAGAAAGAGAAAAGAGAAACGTGTACCAGAGATGGAGAGAGGGTCCTGCTGGATAGATATGTGCCTTTTGAATAATTCACTCAGCAAACTATTTTCTAAGAACCGGGAACTTTATAAAGAGACATTGATTAAATCATTGTACGAATGAATGAGCAAAGGAGAGAAGGAACACACAAACGCCTGCACAACAGATATCTTTTGTTTGTACCTCCTGAAATGTGTTATGCATGAACCTGGATCTGGATATAAAAATTTATTTCATATATATTCAGAGGTCCCCGTCATTCATGCCCTTGAATGTATTTTAATAACGTGTGGCGCCAGTTTGTAGTCTAAGTTTAAAAGTGAATTATTCATTGTTTCAACAAATCAGAAGAGAAGTGCTGGTGATTTTCACTCAGTTATAGCTGTCCAGGGGCAAACAGGCAAGGGCAATTTGACCATCCATTCCTGTATGCATGTAGTGTTTATAGGTATAATATATAACCAACACAGGAAGAAAGAAGTTCTGTATTACCCAGGAAGTTGTCATTTATTTATTTATAGAGCATTAAGAAGTGTTCATGTTGGTTCAAGGCCATATAGAAAGCAATCGATTTCATCTAGAAATCTCTCTGTGTGCTTGTAGATAAAATTTCTTTTTCTCCAGCTTTTTATTATTTGTCACCTTTAAATATTGAAATAAATGTGAAATGTTTCACCTGGAGAAAATCTGGTCTCGTTGAACCACAGTGACTCCATTAAGCTCCCCAGGTGCTGACTTGATGTAGATGCTCAGTGATGGCTACATAGAGTCACAGGTCTGTTACGGAAGCAAATGCAAACATCAACCGTCTTTTTCAAGAAAAAAAAAATGTTTTGAGTTTTGATGAATTATCATGACAAAAATATTTATTTGCTGACTTTATTCATGAATCTTGAGATGAAGTTAAAGGCTGTTTAAGTGAGAATGTTCTAGAATTGAGCAAAGCAAATGTTCTTTAAACAAGGCATCTGTGACGAGAGATCATCGTTAATTTGATATAGCACTCAGTTTTTCAAAATCTAAAAGTCTTAAAATATTTCACAGAACTCATTGGCCATTTTCATTTAGAAGCCCTGTAGCTGGACCGGGAAGCGGTAGCCCCCAGTGAGAAGGAGCGCCCTCTAGGGGCTGAGACCACTGGCGCTGGAGTCAGAGCTGGCTGGTCTCATATCGTCCGCTGCCACTGAGCGCGGTGACACCGTCAGGGAACTTAGTGTCTCTGAAAAATGGGGGTTAGCCGTGCTTTCTTCACAGACTGGTGGCAGTGATCAAATGAGGAAAGCACTCGAGTCCCAGGCACATGCAGGGTACTAATACGTCCCAGCTTTTATACTCAATTTGTAGTTGTTTATAAATAGGTCTTATTTGCTGCCGGTGATGCATTCTTAGCGTAGACTTTCAGCCATCCCTTTGAAAATGGACTTATTGAGTGCTTACAAAGTTTAGTGAAAGCCAGCCCTGAATATAAAGTCACATACTCAGAACAGTTAACTGTTTATGAAGGTGAATGTAAAGACAATCCATTTCGTTAACTGTATTGACCTTAAACCTTCTAGAAGAGAAGCAGGTTTGGGGAGTTGGGGATTCAGGTGGGAAAGATGCAAACTGCATTTTTGTGAAAGCTGTAATAAATGCTTTACACTGTTCTGGCAAAAAAAAAAAAAAAGAACAAGGGAAACCAAATAAGCATTTATTCATTTGCTGTGGAGTACTTGGAGTCTTAAATTTACTTGAAGACATTAAGAATCTATCCCCAAACATATGCAAATAACAAGACATCCGTTGCCTCAAACACTGCGCTAGGCACTGCAGGCTCCTGCTTTGTGTTTTGGGTGAGAAAACAAAGGCCTGGACCACAGAGGGGAACTTGCCCAGACGGAGTTCCAAGTCGTGTCCAGTGCATTCTGCACACACCTCCCTGCTCTGCTCAAACGCCCCCTTCACCCCACGCCCCACCAGGAACTTACTCCCAGATTCTGGCATTTCACGCGAGAAGTTGTCAAAACACACGTTGTTCTCTCTGCAGGAGGACGCAGCCCTCTGCCCCCATGTCGCCACCTTGGAAGGACTGACCAAATCCAGCAGCCTGTGCCACTTCCCACCCACCATGGGACCCGAGGGAAGCTTGCTGAGTGGGGGACAAATGCAGATCACCCTGTGGGGAAGCCTGGCAGCTGTGGCCACCTTCTTCCTCATCACCTTCCTCATCTTTCTGTGCTCCAGTTGTGACAGGTGAGAGCAGTGCATGTCTACTAGAGCCTTAAAATAACATGTTCCCTGGACCCAGAAGACTTTCTATATAAAAAGCCTGTGATGAATGGCATCTCACTGCATAGACGTTCCCAGAAAGTCGTATGTTAGATGAACTGACTTCTCTGCCGCAAAGGAGCCCAGAACCCTTTTTATTAGTTCAGTGAAAAGCCACACCTGATTTTCCTGGGGAGCAACTGGAAGAGCCCTTATGTATGAAGCTTCCCAGAAGGAAATTTTTGCTATTCTTATGAGCACACCCTTGTCCAAATGTGTATTTTCTTTTTCCATCTGTGGACATTTGGAAATCTAAGTATCATGTGCGTTAAAGATACTCTTTTTGTTGCCATTTGAGAGTTACTGAGAATTTTTGCTGCTCTGTAGCTTTCAGGGGGTCATTTTATTAAGGATTTGTTATCTAGAACTGCAGTTTCTTAAACATTCATTTTTTTCTACAGGAGAAACATTCTGTGTATGAAATAACCATCTTGTCTTATTTTAGAATTATACTTCTCTCTCTCTCTCTCTCTTTCCTCCCTCTTTGTCTCCCTCATATACAATAAAATGTGTAACCCCTCCACCAAGAAGAAAAGGAGATCTTTGCTTGGAGAGAAGCAAAGTCCTTTCTAACCAGGAGTGATTTTCCAGGTGTTCAGACATTGTTACAACATATGCAGCTCTCTGGTGAGGGCTGCTGCTGGGAGCCAGAGCAGACCAGCTGACAGCTAGCCCTCTTTCAAACTCTTCTCAGTAACCTTGGAAGAGACTGGATAAGTGTCATTTAAAAGTCTGGATGTGGCTTTGTGCCCTAAAGTCTCTGTCAGGAGGGGAAAATCCAGACTCCCTGAACACAAGTAGCCTCCAAATCCCTGCCCGGTTTGGATCCAGGACTCCAGGGCTGGGAGAGAGACTAACTGGCCAGAAAGATGAAGAAATAGAAGCAAAGCTAGAGGAGTGTTTGTTCCCCTGGGCCTGGGAGGGCCTGCCTTGCAATTATTTATGCCCCCACTAGGTGTCACTGTTTCCTTATACATCTATGGGAAAGGTAGCCTCTAGTACTGATGGCTTTCTTTAGCCTGTCCCGAGTAAAAATAAATTCTATTTTTACTGGATGGACTTTTCCATAGACTGCAAGTACATATGACTCATCCTGAGGGCATGTAACCTCCCCGACAAGCCAAAAGTTGTATTTTCTTTATTTTCTCAATCCCATGGCAGTGTGTGACTTTGCAAAGACTGAATTAAGAAAGATGAAGAGATGAGAATTGTTGATTTCCTTACAAAAAACAAAAACAAAAAACTCATCCCAGTATTCTAGATATAAACAGTTTCTACTCAGGAAACTGCCCCAGTCCTCTTGTTCACTTGTATTTTCTACTCCTGGAGGAAGGGGACGTCCAGAGAGGTGACCAGCCCCTTGCTGGGACTTGACTCCCTCGGACCCTGCTGCCTGCAGAGGAGGGGTAGAGTGAATTGTCCGGCTTCTGCTTCCTTGGCAAAATAAACCCGGTTTTTAAAAGAGAGATTATTTAAATGTTGATCAAAGTTTGAAAAGGAAAGGGGAGTGTATGTTTGATTTTAGATGGCACGTTGGATGTTACAGCCATGTTTCCTTTTCTGTTTCAGAGAAAAGAAGCCGAGACAGCACGGCGGAGACCATGAGAACCTGATGAACGTGGTGAGTATGCGTGCACGAGCTGTAAAGCATCAGCCGTTTATCTAAAGCAGGTCCCTACGAGCTTACAACCTGAAGGAAGCCCAGGGAGGCGATTCAGCCAGAGTTAACTGGCTGCCTGGGCCGTGTCCTCTTGCTGCAGGCTTATATTCACCGTGGCTAGAGGCCTGTGCAATTAGCCAGGTTGTTGGGAGAGCTCCTGAAATGGATGCAATTGTGCCAGTGCTGGAAGGATCCTCAGATAGTTCCAACCTACTGCAGGGACGTTTCTGTTTTGCCTCTGCTGGGCTCCAGCCGGTGTATTAGTTGGCTAGAACTGTCATAACAAAGGACCATAAACTGAGTGGCTTAATAAATTTATCATGTCACAGTTCTAGAGGCTAGAAATTCGAGATCAAGGTGGCAGCAGGGTTGGTTCCTTCCGAGAGCTGTGAGAGCGCATCCGTTACAGGCCGCTCTCCTAGCTTCCCGTGGTCGGTTGGCAGCCTTTAGTGATGCTTGGTTTGAAGATCTCTGCCCTTACATTGTGTTCTCCCTGTGACTCTTTACACCGTCTTCCCTCTATGTGTGTCTGTCTCTGTCCGAGTTACCCTTTTTTAAGGCTTCTGATATGACCTCATCTTAACCTGTTCTATCTGCAACGATCCTGTTTCCAAATGAGGTCAAGTCTAAGGTATTGAGAGTTCGGACTTCAATATAAGAATTTGGAGATGATAAAATTCAACCTGTAACAGCTGATCATTAAGCTTACTGGAGCTTGGGACCCGCAGCATCCCAGATGTGGCCTGGCCTTGCTGGGTTTTCTTGCTCTGTGTCCTAAAGGGTCCTGATCGAGCCCCGCGGGCCTCTTGGATTCACCCAGATAGGGAGCAGCCTGGGCGTCCTGGTCCCACGTCATTCTCTCCCCTCAGGCCCATGCCTTTAACTGGCTGAGCAATTCCAGCAGCTGGGGATAGGGCCGCCCTCATATTCGCAAGGCTGAAATGGTGAAGATGCTTCCTGTCCCAGATGTAATTTCTCAAGATCAGGCATAAACTGGTTGGAGGAAGAAGGGGCAAAAAGGAAAGATGGGCGAGTGAAGTATGTCATGTGAGGTCTGGTGTGAAATACTCAGCCAGCAGCCAGGTTCCAAGCTCACCCAGGAGGCGTCCCGGGCACCCTGCCCTATGATTGAGGGATTCTTCCAGGCCATGCAGCGAAGTGGTCAGCCCTCCTCTCCTGGGAGCTCCTGGGGAGTTCCTTCCTTTCATCTCTGTATGCAGGCGGCTCACACACACACACCCTCCACTGCTTTCCAGGTTTCTCATCACCCCCCTCCTTTTTACCCCCGTTGTGACCCTCACTGCAGTCTCTGGTTGTCTATATCCCCACTTCTCACCTGCCCCCAGCGCCTCTGTTGGATTGCCGCTGTGCGGCACCCAGAGGGTGGGTGGGAGAGGAGGTGGTGCCTCCACTGTGGCTTCTCCCATGTGCAGGTCCCAGGCCCCAGCTTTCTTCCCTTTGCCACTCTCCTTGGTGCCCGTTGGCAGGAGACGCGGGGCTGGGGGAGAGGCTTCCATCTCCATTTGTTAGAAGACTCGGGGGGGTGGGGGGAGGCTGGGAGCAAGCCCTCGGGTCATCCTGATATTTGCTCAGGTGTGAGAACCTCTGCTCTAGACCTTTGGTTCCTGCTCTTCTGCTAACACCCAGCAGCAGCCCTGGGTGAGACGGGAAGAGAGTGGCGGGTGGATAAAAGGAAGATCTGACTCTCCGTGTGCAGTGTCCTTCATTAATAGCCCCCCATAGCCTCTCTCATATGAATGTGTGAGCAAGGGCGTGCACGTTTGCACACACACATCACATGGCTCTCTTTACAAGCTTCTATCCTAGCTTCTCAATTTTGTACAACTTGCAGAGTCTCCATCCCAGGCCTGAGAAGTCCTTGTAGTCAGCCAGCCTTCCCCACCCCTGATCCCGGCTCTGACACACACCCCGACACACACCGATCGCTCCACAGCCCCAGAGGAGCTGCCTTTAAATCCTAAGGTGAAAAGGGCCGGCGGGGGTGGTGTCCCATGGCTGCATCTGAAGCTGCAGTGAGAGAGAGGCTCCCTCCTGGCTTCTGTGCTTGGAGCTCCAGCAGGCGTTTTCTCGTAGAAGCTAAGAGAAGAAATGGTGGTGAGAGCCTAGAGTATGATAATTCAGCTGTGACGGATTGATGGTGCTGTTATGGGCCCACCTGGGAGCCATCCTCCCCCCACAGCTGACTCCTGCCCAGGGGTGACATCATTTCTGTGAATGGGCACCTGTGTCTGCAGCCGCCCTGCAACCTAACACAACGACCCATCTCACGGGCTGCATGGGATTGAAATAGCTGACTCCCGGTACATGTTTGGATCATGACGCAGCATGAGCTATTTGCTCTCTGTTATTATTACTTGGTTCCCAAGTCAAAGAATTTGTGAAGCCAGCTAGCCAAGGCTGTGGTGCTGTTTACATCAGAACTTCCCAGGTGGACTCCTGGAACATGGTCCAGTGTGGCCTCCTGGGTCCCGCAGGCCATGCATTCCATGAGTGGGAAGGGGGAACAGATCATATCAGCAGTGATTCAGCTGCTACGTGGGACCAGATGCATATTTCAAGAAATATGTGAGCTACCACCTTACCTTCAGGCTAGTCATAGCTGTAGCTCAGCCTGGCGTATCATGCCATGTACTGTCCGCCCAGGCTAGCCCAGTAGAAAACAATCAATGCCATTCTTCCCTCCAAGCGTCCTGAATTTGTTTGTGAGAATAAGAAAGGTTTGCATACCTACTTTTTAGCATATGATGGTTTCGGTGAACCTTGAAGCAGAGACTTGGCTGATTTATGAGTCTCAGACATCAGTGACATTATCTTTGATCAGATTTAAGTCCCTTCCCTTCAGATGACAAAGGTGATGTTTTCCTCGGCATGACACACCCTTAAAAAGGGTAACGTTTCCGGCACCCCTGGTAGAAGGATGAGGCCTCTCTCTGCTGGAGCTGATTCCGATCAGCCCTGGGGCTTCTGATCCCCCTCACCTTGAGATAAGGGACCTGAGACCCCACAACCTACCATAGCCTATTTGTGATTACCAGATGGGAAGCTCTGTGGATGGCGGCCTCGGAAGATTCCCAGGACGGCCCTGTCCAATAGAACCTTCCACCAAGATGGAAGTGTTCTGTAACTGCACTGATAGGGTAACCACTGTCCACGTGTAGCCACTGAGCCCTTGAAATGTGACTAGTGCAACTGAGGAACTCGATTTTATTTCGTTTCGCTTAACTTAAATGTAAGCAGTGGATTTGGGTTTTGTTGTTGTTGTTTTCATTTTTAGAAGAAACCATGGAGGGAATTCCCTGGCGGTCCAGTGGTTAGGACTCTGCACTCTCACTGCCGAGGGCCAGGGTTCAATCCCTGGTTGGGGAACTAAGATCCCACAAGCTGTGCGTTTGGGCAAAAATAATTAATGAATGAATTAATTAATTTTTAAAAATACCCCCCCCCATAAAAAAGCCATGGATATTCCCCTCTGCCACGCAGTCTGATCCTTTTGGTGCCTTTGTTTTTGCAGCCTTCCGACAAGGAGATGTTCAGCCGTTCAGTTACCAGCCTGGCCACAGACGCGCCTGCCAGCAGCGAACAGAATGGGGCACTCACCAACGGTGACAGTAAGTTCTGCAGAAATACCAGCTATCCACGCAGGCCTCATCACCTGAGAAAGGGCTGGGTTTCAGAAAGTGTGGCTCAAAAACTAGGAAATGTGTTTGTTCTTGCTTACCTTTTGTATTACTACCAGTTTTAGCCAAAAAAATCTCATTTGGATGAAAAGTTAATATCTATGAATTGGCTTCTGTGTGCCATTGTTCTAAGATTTGTATGTATACTAACTCATTTTTTTTTATTTTTTATTCTTTTTGCGGTACGCGGGCCTCTTACCGTTGTGGCCTCTCCCGTCGCGGAGCACAGGCTCCGGACGCGCAGGCTCAGCGGCCATGGCGCACGGGCCCAGCCGCTCCGCGGTATGTGGGATCTTCCCGGACCGGGGCATGAACCCGTGTCCCCTGCATCGGCAGGCGGACTCTCAACCACTGCGCCACCAGGGAAGCCCTGTACTAACTCTTTTTTGCTAACCCGTTTATGCTAGCAACTATAAGATTACCATGACTAATATGACTGCCCTGTAGAGTAGGGATTATTAGTGTTTACAATTTACAGATGAGGCAACTGAAACATTGCTGCTGCAACAAATTACCACAAACTTAGTGCCTTAGAAGAACACAGGTTTATTAACTTGGAGCTCTGGAGGTCAGAGTCTGAACCAGGTCTCCCTGGGCTAAAATCAAAGTATCAGCGGGGCTGCGCTCCTTCCCCAAGGCTCTAGGGAAGAATCTAGTTCCTTGCCTGCTTCCGCTGCTAGAAGCCTCCTGCATTCCTTGGTCCTGGACTTCCCTCCATCTTCAAGTCTCTCTCCGACTCTCCTGCCTCCATCTTTCACTGATAAGGACCCTCAGAATTACACCGCGCCCACCTGGAAGCCCCAGTTTTCCTCCCCATCTCAAGATCAGCTAATAGTTCATCAGTATCCTTAATTCCTCCCTTGCCGTGGAATGAAACACACAGAATCCAGGGAAGAGGACGTGGGTTCCTGAGTGGGGGGTGGGTGGGGGGTGGGCATTATTCTGTCTGGCACAGAGAGGTTAATCACTTGCCTAAGATGTTATGGTCAGTGCTCTGAGGATCTGTAATTTGAACCCTCGATCTGACTCCTGGGTACACCCTTAGGACCACTCTGCATGCTGCCTGTTTCACGCCCAGGATGTGCTCGCTCACCAAAGTCACAGCTACATTTCCACTCCCCAGTTTACAGAGCGCTTTCACCTGGGGTAGCAAATCCTCCTCTTACCTCCAGTTACAGACAAGGAAACTGGGGGACAGTCAGAACTGACACCGGAGGCTTCAGACTCCAGTGCCTGTTCTCTGTCCACCGTGACACAGACATCTAATTCCAGAGGGCAAAAGTTCACCCCCTCCTTGATGATCAAGTATTTAGTACACAGTGGGTAGTGATGGTAACTTCCGACGAGGGTTCCATTATCATTTTCCCGAGATACTCTTCAGGGACACTATTTCTAGTCCTCCTAAAGAGAAGTAATCTTTTTTTTTTTTTTTCAGGATAAGAGGTGAGCACTTTATTTCTTCTTTCACTCATTTAGTTTTTCATGTAAAAACATAGTGGGGTCAACCATGCATTAGACACTATTCTGGACTCCAGGGTCTTAGAGAATCCCACTCAAGTCAATAAAAACGGGTTAAAAACTGTAAGTTATAGGGCTTCCCTGGTGGCGCAGTGGTTGAGAATCTGCCTGCCAATGCAGGGGACATGGGTTCGAGCCCTGGTCTGGGAGGATCCCACATGCCGCAGAGCAACTAGGTCCGTGAGCCACAACTCCTGAGCCTGCGCGTCTGGAGCCTGTGCTCCGCAACAAGAGAGGCCGCGATAGTGAGAGGCCCCCGCACTGCGATGAAGAGTGGCCCCCGCTTGCCACAACTAGAGAAAGCCCTCGCACAGAAACGAAGACCCAACACAGCCAAAAATAAATAAATACATAAATAAACTCCTACCCCCAACATCAAAAAAGAAAAACTAAGTTATAAACCCACACACAGATGTAAAGAATATATACTATATATAAGGAATATATATATTATATAAAGTAAATATATATGAATATACCAGTACAAATACATGTTTAAGTATATATTTACTTTATATAATATATATATTATATACATACACTTATATATCTGTAAAGAATATATAGTATATAAAGAACATACAGTGGAGAGACAGTAATTTAATAACTGGCTCACTGCGGTGTAAGTACCCAAAGGGCAGGACTCATTGGACCTCATTGATGAATGATGTATCCCCAGCACTTCAACCATCGCTGGCACCTAGGAGGCACTCAAAAAACATTTGATAAAGGGATGACTGAATGGCTCCACGCAGTAACATTTCTGTAGCAATCTAAGAATTTCAAATACGAATTTTCTAATTTGAGGTAAAAATGTCGGCACCGGGAGCCAGTAAGATGGAAGGAAGAGCTTTAAAAAGGCACAGGGTAGGCGGACCCTTTGGGATACTGCTTTGGGCACATTTTTGCCCCATTTTTTCCATTGTCTCTCAAACAAAGTGACCTGTGAAGGGGGATGGCTCCCAGGTGTTCCCTCCACACAAGAGGAGGCCAGTAGGGCCAGGAGAGTGGCTGCCACACATACCCCGCCCCCTTGGAGCCCAGCCTCCCACAGTTTGGCCCTATGCAGTGTCACTTTCATCCTTTGGTCACTTTGGACACTGCCTACAAGGAGCCCATCAGGAGTAACAACAAATACTGTATAACTGTGACCCAAATTGATAGCCAAGACAATTTATTAAATACTGTATTGGAAAGATGTAATGGATGGCTTTAGTTTACACTGTGATTGAAATAAGAATATCCACTAACAGTCAAAACATCTGTAATTTACAGCCTCAAGTCAAATAAAAAGCCAGCACTTTGATTTCACCTAACTTGACATCATCTGATTCACTGTAATAATTATGTCAGAAATTGTCTTTCTCCACTTTTAATACTCCCACTGCTTTAGTTCTTTCAGAAGACAGCACCATGACCTGCACGCAGCATTACGAGGAAGTCCAGACCTCAGCTTCAGATCTGCTGGACTCCCAGGACAGCACAGGGAAGCCAAAATGTCATCAGAGCCGGGAGTTGCCCAGAATTCCTCCTGAGAGCGAAGTAGACACGATGCTCAATGGAGAAAGCGCGGACGGGGACCAGGGTCTGGGGATGGAGGGGCCGTATGAAGTGCTCAAGGACAGTGCCTCACAAGAAAATATGGTGGAGGACTGCTTGTATGAAACTGTGAAAGAAATTAAGGAGGTGACGGCCGCCGCCCACTCAGCTGGAGGCCACAGCAGCAGGTCGAAGTCAACTTCCACTGTGAAAGAGCTTCCGGGGCCCCAGGCCAGTGGCAAAACAGACTTTGCCGAATATGCCTCCGTGGACAGAAACAAAAAGTGTCGACAAAGCGCTAATACAGAGAGTATTCTTGGAAATCCACGGGATCCAGAAGAGGAGGCGCCACCCCCTGTCCCCATTAAACTTCTGGATGAAAATGAAAACCTTCAGGAAGAGGCAGAGAGTAAAACAGGAGAAGAAGGGGCCGCCGAGGGGACCAGTGAAACCAACAAGGTGGGCTCCGGCACATTGGTTTCAGAGCTTTTGTCACAATTGGGCGTCTAGCTGATCCTGGGGCTTTCGCTTGCACGTTGTGCTAAGGAATACATGCTAGCACCTTCACGTGCATTGAATGGTGGAAGCTGTTTTAGTGGAAGCTGTGTTTGACTTTTTGTTCCCCCCTCCAAGTAATAAAATACTGAAAGCTCATATTTACAAAATATTTCTCTCTTGGCACCTTTCTTGGATATCTTCCAGTTTTTGCATCATGTCTAATGGGGGCAAGTATTATTTTCTTCATTGTGAAGACCAAGAACTGGAAAGACGAGACTCTTTGCCACCCACTTAGCCTCTTCCACTTGTTACCACCCCAGGCAGTGGGGTGATCTCCCCGCTCCCCGGGTCCCAGAAATCAGAGCACAAGAACAGGCAGAGGGGACCAGTTCACAGGTGCCACTGAGCGTACCTGATTATGTATAGACTTTTATATGAATCAAGTAAGAGATTTTATTTTGTGACAATTTCTAAATAATAACCTGTAGCTCTTAAGTGTAACTGTTCAACAGAGCTCTAAAATGTACTAACAATCCCCGAGCCTTCTCTGTGGGTGTCTCATAAGCTGATGTCTGAGCCACCATAGCTTGGGATTCACATCTCCAGCTGTCAGCATGTCCCTGGGATTTAAACTAGGCCCTACCTTCTTTAGGCAACTGATATCTAATTTCCATTCTCTGCGGAGAAAAAAGTAGGGTTCTCTTCTCAAGTTTTGGTAGGAAGGCCAAGTAGGGACTAGTCAGTCAGTAGTAGCCTTGAAAAACTTGTGGCGTTCACGATCAAAAGGGGAGGCCCGGCTAGGGTTATATAGCTTATACCAAGGAGTCATTCTGTGTAGTGTTCTCTGAATGCATTTCAGCTTTTCGTTTTACCCGTAAAGTGAGCCATTGAGAGCCTCAGTAAAGTATTTATGAATATATTTGTAAAATGCAAAAATGCAGCCTAATTTTTTTGCCCTTTGTATAACTAAAGATAATAAAACTAATGTGACATTTATGCTGCCTAAAGCAGTTAAACCTTCTTTACTTACAAGCATTTGAAAGAGAAGAGAGTTGACTGTCTAACCACTGCTAAGTAAGCAATTCTCCAGATGTCACATTAGAAACTGGAAATATCCATCTGGGAAGCAGATTACCTTTCTATAGTAATACAGGAGTGAATAATCCATCATCTCCATATAAACCATCCTAATTTTAAGTGATTGGGAGAACTTGAAATATTTAATATTCACGCATTTATTTGTAAAAAGATTTTAATGAGCACCTACTATAAGCCACATGATACAGGTGCTGGGAATACACTAGAGAACAAAACATATAAATGAACAAAAATCTCTACCCCCATGGAGCTTACATTTAAGTAAGGAGATAGAGACATAAATACGTATGCAAGTAAAGTATGTGGTATCTTAGAAGGCTTTAAAGTTTAAAGGAGAAAATTAGAACAGAATCCGGGGGTTTGGGGAAGTTGGGTGGGAGTACAATTGTGAATAAAGTGGTCAGGGTACGCCTGGCTGTGAAGGGGCATTTGAACAAAATGTTAAAGGAGGTGAGAGAGTGAGTTGGTACACATTTTGGGGGGCAGAGCAAATGAAGCAGAGGGAATGGCCAGTGTGAAGGTCCTGAGGCCAGAGCAGGCCCGGCCTCTCCAGGAAAGAGGAAGGGGTGGGCGTGGCTGGAGAGGGGAGAGCAACGCTAAGAGAAGTAGGAAGAAAGGTAAGCAGGGCCCCAACCCTGTATGGCCTCGGCTTATTATCTGAATAAAATGGGGTCACTCGAAAGCCTTGAGCAGAAGAATGGCTTAATCTGGGTTAGGAAAGGATCGCTCTGATGGAGCTGAAATTCACCTATGAAGAATGGAAGCAAGGAGACCAGTTGGGTAGCCATTCTAATAAGCAAGACGAGAGACAAGGTGGCTCGGATCAGGGCAGGAGTAACGGGAGACACTAAACTAGAGCCAGGAGATTTGTTGATAGACCAGATGTGGATGAAAGAAAGAGGAAGCAATGAGTCTGGGGTTTGGCCTGAGCCACTGGAAGGATGGAATTGCCATTAACTGAAGTAGAAAGGACTTGTAGGCAGAGCAGACTTGGGAGGCAACTTGGGTGTTCCGGGCTGGACCTATTGCTTTGAGATAGATATTGGTCATCCAAGTAGAGATGTCGGAGAACAGCTGGATGGGGGAGCAGGTTTACGAGGAAGGGCCTGGGCTGGGTTTGTACATTTAGAAGTCAGCAGCAGAGATTTGTTTTCAAAGCTGACATCAGATGAGATCACTGCATGAGTACGTGTGAACGGGAACTAGAAGAGTTCCAAGGACACAGGTCCAGGAAAGAAAAGGAGCCAGCAGAAGAGAGCAAAACAGGAGAGAAAAAACAGGAAAGTACAGTGTCCTAGAAGCCAAGGGCAAACTTTCAGGGAGGAAGGAGTGACCCCTGCATCAGATGCAGCAGGTGGGTCAGGAGAGGTAGTTACACGTGGACTTCAGTGTCCTTGACAAGAGCAGTTTCACTGAAGTGAAGAGGCAGAAACTGGACTGAAATGGGTTTAGAGAGAGAATAGGAAGAGACAAATTATTTGAGTGACTTTTTCGGAGAGCTCTCTTAAGAGGTTTTACTATAAAGGAAGGAGTAATGGAACTGGAAGAAGGGTGGATTGGTTTTGTTTTTAGAATAAATAGCCTGTTTTTACATGAATGGGGATGACTCCACAGAGAGGGGAAAGCTGATGATGTAGACGAAATGGGAGAGATGCTGGAGCTTATATCCACGAGTGAGTGTGAGGGGTCAGAATCTAGTGCACAGGAGGAAAGGATCGTTAAGGAGAAGCATGGAAAGTTCATCTGTGGCAACTGACAGGAAGGAAGGTACATGAATGCAGAGACTGGGGGCAGGTGGGGGAGGTAAAAGTTTATAGAAATTTCTCTTGTTTCCTTCGGTTTTCTCAAGGTCCTCAGCTAAGCATGAGGATGGGTGAAGAGGTGTTGGGAGTTTGGGAAGAGAGGGGAAGACGTGAAGTAGGGAGCTAGGAGACCAGGGACCAGGTGATAGAAGGATTCAGAGCAGCATTAAGGACTCACTCGAGGGATGAGTTCACCAGTGACCAAGAAGGGAGTGGAGTATTTAAAGTATGGCAGTGGAGTTTGACAGGGCAGAAAGGAAGGACGCCAAGGAGAAGCGACACACACAAAAACATTTTGCAGGATTGTAGGAACTGGGTTATGGGAGGAGTGAGCTTGATCGAGGAGTGCTGGTCTGCAGGGGGGCTGCAAGGAGATGGGATGGTGGGGTGTCTGTTTAGGGTAAGTCCGAAGTGTAGCTGGGAGGGTGAGCAGTGAGGTTGGCGGGAGGACAGGGTCGGGGCAGGGAGGTCAGGGAGCTGGGGCAGGTTTGGAAGGATCCCTGTTTGTTGCAGTCAGCAAGAATTCAGGCAGGAGATGCGTTAGAGACAGAATCAGTGAAGCAGGAACCAAAATCATTGAGAAATGAGGCAGGTAGCAAGTGACAAAATGTGAGCTGAGTTCTCCACTAGCTGTGAAAAGTTTCCAGATGACTTAAGAATCTTCCTGATGGCTCAGGCAAGCTGTAGAAATATAAAATTCCGGCACTTGATAAAGAAACCATGTTTTTTTCTTCATCAGTCTTTCCATCTCTCATTGATGATCAATCCTTCAGTGACAATTAGGAATTGAAACAGTAGTCTACGTAACTGTTCGTTTTATTTGTACCTACAGATTCAAATAAACAATCAGAAAAAGTTTCTCTAAGTGTAATACTACTGGGTATGCAAAAACATACTTTTTACGTGTTTATTCCTCAGGTGCTTTATATAATTTCTTTGTAGAAAATAATTTCTTCTCCAGATAGCATTTGAAAACATTTTTGTAGATAGATGGATCAAAGCATATGCACGAGAAAGGTTCGATTATTGACTTCAAACTCCTTTCTCTTGGTTTATGTTTCTTCTAACAGAGATTTAGTTCGTTGTCATACAAGTCCCGGGAAGAAGACCCAACTCTCACAGAAGAAGAGGTGAGTTTTGTTAGTTTTTATTATTATTATTATTTTCTGCGGTACGCGGGCCTCTCACTGTTGTGGCCTCTCCCGTTGCGGAGCGCAGGCTCAGCGGCCGTGGCTCACGGGCCCAGCCGCTCCGCGGCATGTGGGATCCTCCCGGACCGGGGCACAAACCCGTGTCCCCTGCATCGGCAGGCGGACTCTCAACCACTGCGCCACCAGGGAAGCCCTGTTAGTTTTTAAATAACCAGAAAGCTCATGTAATAGAGAATAGCACCTCCTTCCTTGAGTAAATGCACTGTCATGTTACCCTTCATCTGAGAAAGCTAAAGTACACTCTTAAGCATATGGTTGGAGATCAGGGTTTGTGGATGTTGGCTTTATAATGGCTCAGAGAGAGTGAATGGCAGATGGTAAGACAAGAAAGAGGACAAGATGAACAGGTCAGCTAAGTAAAGAAAACTCAGTAGGGAAGAAGGAGCAGAGAAGAATAGAAAGGGGAGGGGAGAAAAGAGGAATGAGAAGAGAGAAATGATAAGTGTGGGAGCTTTAATCAGTCAGAAAGTCCCCTTTAGAAGGAAGTTAATAGTGGGTTGGAAAATACAGGAAATTGGAGCAGGTGGGTGTAGAGAATTTGCTCCAGGCTGGGAGACAGAGGGAGAAGGGCTTAGGAATTTGCGAGGCTGAGAGCAGGGAACTTCAGGAAGTACACGTCCAGCTTGGAAGTAGAGTCAGACATGGCCACCAGCAAGAAAGGATGATATATTCTCCCAAGCACCAGGGCTGAAGATTCACTGGTTAAACTTTCAGTGAGCATTAAAATTGTAAAAGCCACTATTTATTGTGTTATTATGTCAAGCTAGACTCAGAGCTGAACACCTTAATTTATCTAGCTACATATAGCCTCTTTCTGGAATGCCTAGCTTAGTAAATTTTGTACATGTACAAAAGTAATGTACATATGCTGGTACGTCACCTCCTATATAGGACTCTGAGTGTTAAAATATGAAGCTAGATTACAATCCCACATTGAAAGTTGAAGGAGCAGAAGTGCTTTCCTTAGGTGATGTTGCCCAACCCCCTCCATGTTTCCTGCTCCATGGAAGGGACCTGCCATCTATCTACCTGGTTGCACAAGCCAAAACCCTGGGGTTATCCTTAACACCCCCATTTTCCTCACTGTCCTCAGATGCAGTCAGGAACAAGTCCCTTCAGTTCCACCTCCAAAGTAACTTTCATGCACCCCCCCAACCCCTCTCCATCTCCACTGGGCCCTCCTCCCCTCATGAGACTAAGGCAGGACCCTCCTACTAGGGCCTGTGGCAGCTCCTTTGCCTCCACCAGCGTTTTTCACTGTCCCGGAGCCATCCCATTTGGTATAAGAAATATGGGAATTCCCTGGTGGTCCAGTGGTTAGGACTCTGTGCTTTCACTGCCGAAGGTGCAGGTTCAATCCCTGACCAGGGAACTAAGATCCCACAAGCCGTGCGGCCAAAAAAACAAGGGGGGAAAGAAAATAGAATATAAAAGATCTGGAAACTAATCCTTTAAAATAAATTGAGGCAGTAAAATTTTAAGTTACTTTTCTTCTTATCTTACATTTGTTTGTGGTTTTTGAAAATAGGACGTGGTTATACTGATGAATGTTTAACATAGAATAAGGAACCGTGATTCCTGTATATTCATTTTAGGAAGAAGATTTAGAAAAAATAAATATGGAAACCATTTATTTTTATATTCATGTAATATAATGTTAGACAGTCCAGACTGAAACTGAGACCTGAATTTTAAGTACTATTATCCCAATTTAACAGAATGATGGGGGAAGGGTTGAATATAAAAAGGAGAGAAATGGGGAAAATGGAGTAATTTATGAGAACATAATAACAATTTACAGACCGAATAATAATGATGAAAGATTTTAAAGAGAAAAATTGCAAAGCTAAATAGCAAGGGGGCTTGAAGAGAAACCTTTTATTTATATACAAAATAAAAATAGTAGTCATAGGAGACAAATATTCAAAAGGAATATTAGAAGACTTGAGAAACGTTGATAAGAGTTCAAATTTCAAATGACAACCTCCGCACATTTGGTTCATGCTCAGAGATAATATTAAGTTGTAAGTTAATGAAAGAGCCTATAATCAAAAAAAAAAAAAAAAAAAAAGACTATAAGGCCCAAGAAGACCCAAGTACTTACAAAGAGTCGGGGGCATTAATGGCAGGGACCATGGGGAAGAAAGTAGGGAAGAGAAACAGAAATGGTGGTGAGGGGTCAACTCTCATTACTCTCACAGGTAAAGGTGTGTTTGTCCTCCTGATGTTACCCCTGAAGGTGAGGAATAAATATCTAGGATGCTGGTTCCCTTCATCACTGTCATCCATGACTTACCCCTTTATAATCTGTCCACATTTTTGGCTTGGACCGCCTTATAAATAAAAAGTTCCATATGTTTGCACCTCCCTATGAAAAGCAGAGGATTTTTTTTTTAATTCTTTCTAAATGGAAAGAAATTCTAATTCTTCATTTTGAGAGTAGTATTTTCACTAAAATCTCTAAGGTGAGAATGTTAATTCAACAGTCCTGAAAATGGTCAGATCAACAGGGCAAGAGTTTCCCAAAGATTATTTCTCTGACTCAAAACCTTTGGCTTGTCAAGGCCTGGCAAATCTGAGCCACCAGCCTGTAGTGAAAAGTCCTCATGCAAATGACCAGTTAACATGCGGCAGGCGTGTCTTAAGAAGCTTTGGAGGCCAGCTGGAAGCTTCCTGCACAGTATGTGAGATGTGTGAGAACAGGACATCTCTCCCTGTACTTGCAAAGCCAAGCATCTGTCAGGAAGTATGTTCATTTATTTCCTGGGTGTTTGAATAAATCAATCGCTGTGGCAAAGATAAATACAGGTAATGAAGGATATTCTTACCTATTTCCAAACATGATTTCTAACAATAAAACAACACCTCCCAAATCTCCTCATCAGTCCATTTACTCTATCATCCATTTTTCTATCAAAGAAAATGAAATCTCTCCTGATATGTGTGGCTACATGAGGTACATTAGTGAGACTGAGTAGGTGTGCTTGGAAAATAGGCTGCTCTTCCCATAGGAAAGAGCATCCCATAAGTTGATTGTCTCCTAGTTTTATTCCTGAGTTGGCTGGTTTCAAATAAGAATGAGTTTTCCCACTGAAGAAAATGTAGCCCCGTCTGTAAATGTATATTTAACCAATAGTATGCCGTGAAGTAAAAAAAAAAAAGTGGAAAATGATACTCTGACAGATATAGGTATATGACCAACCAGAATCCAGGAGCTACTCTTCAGATCTCTGTGGTGCAGGAAGAGTGGATCAAACAGTCTAGTTCAGTGGTCCTCACGCTTTAGTGGACATCAGAATCAGTCCATCTGGGACCGCCCCCGACCAGAGTTTGTGACTCAGTGGTTCTGGGGTGGTGCCCCAGAGTTTGCCTTTCCAATAACTGTCCAGATCCTGCTGCTGCTGGTTTGAATCGCACCCTTTTGAGAATCACTGGTCTAATGCTTTTTTTTTTTACCCTTTTTTGTAAAGCAGTCAAACCTTTTTGCAGGTGAAATATCATTCTGATAAAGAAACCAAATAAAACCTGATCTGTAGTCAGGTCCTGGGGGTCTTGAGCTGCCCACCCCACCTGCTCTCCTCAAACCCCTGATGAGACCCAGAGAGGACCTGGTTTTCATAGAATTATGCTACTTACAAAGTTGTAGATGACACACGTAATTGTCCTGGAGTTACGTACTCCAGGATTAGTACAGATAATGAAGAACCCATTTCTGGGTATATAGTCAAAGGAAGTGAAACCACTGTCTTGAAGAGATACCTGTACACCCATGTTCATTGCAGCATTATTCACGATAGCCAAGTCATGGAAGCAACCCACGTGTCCGTCAATGGATGAATGGATAAAGAAAATGTAATTTTATACACACACACACACGTACGTACGTACGTAATGGAATAGTATTCAGCCGTAAAGAAGAAGAAAATCCTGCCATTTGTATCAACATAGATGGACTCGGAGGGCGTTATGCTAAGTCAAATAAGTCAGACAGAGAAAGACAAATACTGTATGTTCTCACATATATGTGGAATCTAAAAAGGCCAGACTCATAGACATAGAGTAGAATGGTGGTTGCCACAGGCTGGGGACTGGGGGAAATGGGGAGATGTTAGTCAAAGGGTCAGACTTCCATCTGTAATAAGTTCTGGGAATATAATGTACAGCATGGCAACTAGAATTAACAATACTGTATTATATACTTGAAAGTTGTTAAGAGAATAGCACTTAAATGTTATCACTACACACCAAAAAAAATGGCAATTACGGTAATGGAGTTGTTAACTAACCTTGTCGTGGTAATCATGTCACAACATGTGTGTCAAATCATCCTCTTGCGCACCCTAAACTTATATGTGTTGTGTGTCGGTAATATCTCAATAAAGTCTTAAAGGGACACAAAGGGACACACACACACACACACACACACATAGTCCTAAAAATCTAGCTTATCACTAAAAAGGGGGAGGGAGAAATCAAGCTTGAAGCTTGTTTATTCACTTCACCCTTTGTTTTCTAGATCTCGGCAATGTATTCATCAGTGCATAAAAAAGGACAGCCAGGGAACAAATCAGGACAGTCACTTAAAGCACCAGAGTCCACCTATACCTCCGTCCAAGGAGCCGCTCCGAGGTCGCCCTCTTCCTGTAACGATCTCTATGCTACTCTTAAAGACGTGGAGAAAATTCCCAACAGCGTCAGCACTCTTGCAGCAGCAGGGAGGCCCAGCGGCGAGGATCCCGAACCAGATTACGAAGCAATACAGACTCTAAACAGAGAGGAAGAGAAAGCTGCCCCGGAGACCCACAGCCACCACGGCCTTTTCCCAAAGGAGAATGACTACGAGAGCATCGGGGACCTGCAGCAATGCCGAGACATCACCAGGCTCTAGCAGCCCGGAAGACAACCCAGCTAGCGTAGGACCAGCCGGCAGGGCCAGTGCTGTTGCAGAACACAAGAAGCAGTGTCAGCCACACTGCATATGCTGCTTTCGGAAAAGGAAGATGACTGGAGATGCCGAAACCGCTTCTCAGTTTGGAGAACAGTGAGGTACACACCCTACTGCCAGGGCACGGGCACACCCAAGCACACCTCCCTCATATACCCACACCCTCTGGAAGGATCCCAGCTGTCGGTGGTCTCACCCTCTTTGTGAAGAAAGCCACATAGTAAGGAAGAAAAGCACTCATCCGAAACCACCGCTCACCTGCCTGAAACACTGCCACTCCCAGGGGCCGGGTTTCTCTCCCTTTCTCCCCTTTCTGCTGCCTGCTACTAACGGTAAAATGAACGGCTTTTTTCCCCTTGAAATCTTCTGATTTATAATGGTTCATTCCAAGGATATTCTCCCACCAGCCTGGCCTTTGCCTTCAATGTGGGTGTTTTTCGATGGTAAGAAATTGTGGTTGCTGCTTCCCTACCGCTCCCCAGTCCTCTTCAAGCAGCTGCCCCTGGGAACCGGGACCGGCCAGTGGATAGGATTGGAGATGCCCCTTGAGCTTCTTAGCTCTTCATTCCTTCTGATTCGGGCAGTCCATGTCAGCAGCCTCTCCCAAAGTACTTGAAGTCATTGTTAGATGCTTTATTTTATTTTTATAGTCAAAATGGTTTTTTCCCCAGTATTTGAAACTCTTCAGAGCCTTCAATGAATATCGTGGTACTTCCATACTTCTTTTGGCCCAGAGCTCATTCCTCCAAAACAGAGAGCCTTAATCTCTATGTTGGGACACAGACCACATGTTTGGATGGCAGCCACGGCTTCCATTTCCCAAGGGCTGTGAACTTGAATGTGTATTTCTGATGACCCCCGCTGCCACACCAGCCGTGCGGGATTTCATACATGAACTGCTCCCCTAAGGTAATCTATCTGAGATTAAAATATAGACATTTATTTTTGTTATATAAATTTATAAGGTATTTTATGTTTAATGCCTAATTTCTAGAAAGTGCCAGATAAAATGTATATTAACTATTTTGATTTGATGTACAATGATTTGTATTCTCATTTTGAAAAGACACCATAAAGCACATAAGCCGGATAATTAGGAGTAGTTGTTACCTTTTTTCTAACCAAGTGTTGAAAACACTGAAGGTTTTTAAAGACTTGACTTTTCAAGTGGTACTTGGAGCTCCTGGTCAAATCATCCGGCTCACTGGAGAAATAAGTGGAATAAACATAAATGATCATTTTCAATGGTTTGTGGTGGGAAGTACTGAAATATTTGACATGCTAAAAATGGAAGGAGGAACAAGATATGACTAGGGATGACTGTGAACAATTAACCTCGAGAAGGTATTATAATTTCATTAAGTTTTAGCTACTTTTTTAAGAAAAAGGTGATGAATTCTGCAGCCTGGTGCTTGCAAATGTAAATTGCCTATTGGGACTTTTTTTTTCCCCTTCATTTTACAAAAATCAGTTGCTGAAATAACTCAGATTGAGAGCTCAGCCTGGTTTGAATTTAATCATCTCTCTAGATTTTATAAGGCCAACATTGGGAAGCTTGTTCACTTTTCATTTTAAAATGAACCTGGTTGAAGTGCTATTATGCAGTGTGGGCTACAGAAAAGGAGCTTTTCCTGCACTGCTAAAGAAAAATAAAAAGAGGCAATTATTCTGTACTGCTGTGACATCTGTGACTTTTCAGATTGAATAATCTTGCTGTTTTCGCTCATTATGATAAAGAATGCAATTGGGAGGATGAAGCATCTTGAAAATTGTAGGGACCAGCTCCCGGGCATGTTTTTTTCCATTCCTTGCATTCATGGCGTGATTTTGTGACTGCTCTGTAATATGTTTCTGAAATTGTAAAGTAGCTCGGTTGGGGTAAATTGGTTGGTTGTCGTTATTTTTCAGTGAGCCTGGTCTCTCCCATGAAGACTTCATGTGTATAAGCACAATCATCATTGATCAAAAGATCATGGCGGAATAACCTTGGATTAGGGAGAAGTTTATCAGGAAGGTGCAAGGCCCCATGCTCTCTGAATTCACATCCTTTGTAAGCACTGGTTCGCCCAGTGAGTCTCATGGCTTAGTGTGAATGAGTTTGACCCGACAATCTTGACTCTGTGGGGTTGCATTGTACCTGGTGACAGCCATGTCACACTGCACACCTAGCATTGTGCATGCTGCAGGCTTGTCCCTTATGAGCCCCTGACTGCTCAAAAGTTGTAATTCATGATGTCTTACTTATTGCCAGGGTGTGATCTCTAAAGGGTAAAACCATTTCTAGGTAGAGAAGCTCTTTATAAATAGTCATATCATCCTGAAATTTCATTTTCAGAGTTCCCCCAGAAGTTTCAAAACCAAGGCTATGCCTTATGGCCATAAAGTATGCAATGAAATATCTCTCTTGACTTGAAAACCTGTGCTAAGAATAAGTTGTGATGTAAAGTATTGAAAGGAGCTCTAAGGCCCTCCAGAACAAATCCTAAAAGAATAAGTGATAGCACAGTCCGTGAGTGTCGGGGCGGGGGGGGAGGGAGAAGCAGAATAAACTTCAGGAGATGGCTCTGCTCTTTAGAGCACTGGGTAACTTACTGAAGTATATTTATTGATGTAGCATCACTGTTTGGACCCTAAAGTACAGTATTTCATAAACTTCATCACTTTTTACTTTATTTGTTGAAAGTTTGTGCTAGAATCTTTGAGTTGGAAGCCTATGGCTTCTTTTAAAAAACATTTCATCCTGAATTAAATGCTACATAGTTTAAATATATGAAAGGATATTATAAAAAAAAAAGAGTTTACTATATCTTTAAAATGTTGACACCCATATTATGTATGCATTCAACTATAATAACCTAGGTAGGTGAAATTTATACAAAAAGATAAAAATACGTTTAGGAATTTTTTTTTGTCTTATAAATCAGAATTATAAACCTATCTTGCCTAAAAGTAGGATCTTTGTTTTTATTCAGATATTTTGAAAGTTTTGAAGAAATTTTTGTCCTGCTTTTACTGTTTCTCAAATATTGTCAGCAGGGAAGTGTAACCTGTTTTATATGAAATGTTTGAGGAAATTTTAAATTCTAGAAGAAAGTAATTTTTGCAAATATGTTTGCCACAAATTTTTTTTTCTTGCCCTGCATTAAATTACATCATTAGGGCTATTAAAGCTTTTGAGGGTACCACTCTTCGTGGGAAAAAGGCTAATTACTCATTTCTCTGCCCTTAAAATCCAAGAGTTAATTCTAATTGAGTGCTAAATTAACAATAAGTAAACACAAAGAGCTGAAATTTAACCTCAGCATGTCACTAGATCTGTTTCTCATATTTGATTTTCATTTTTCGAATTAGAGCATTTACTTACTTTTACCAGTAACTATATAAAAAAAATATATATATATATGTTGTATAAATATGATACACACACACATCCATATATACACACGTATATATATAAAGTTGCTCTGGTGCTTAATTAATTAGGATACATCCTGTCATTTATTTTGAGTGTTTATCCTACTAGTGTAATGACTATTGTCATAAAAGCAGAATAGAAGAAACAGTTCTCCAATCATTTTCATTTGTAATTACAGGAAAACCATCTTAAGTTGCCCTCATTGAATTTTTCTAGTTAATGAATTCAGATTTTAAACTAGGTCCATCATTCTCTTAGCTGAAAAACAGTGGTACGTTTAAATAGTTTTATTCATGCAACTCCCTACATATTCAACCTGACAAAAGGGAATGAAAATAGGTGTCCTCTTCAGACAGGCATTTGAAGACAGATTTGGCCAAAGGCAACAAGAGCCCCGTGAGCCAGGATGGCGCCATGGCCAGGTAACCTGCCCACCGGGGGGCAGAAGCAGGGACCCGTTATTACATGAGGGCATTTTATTTCCCTGTCTTCAAAAACCATGAGATTTTAGCACAGAATCAACAGGCAGTGGTGGAGGATGCTGTGCAGAAGAGCCACTCTGAGATGGTGATGTAACATGGCTAGAATCCCAGAGCCTCAGTTCAAGACTGACTTAGGATTTTGTAAATGCTCCTTGTAATAGTTGCCATGAGTCCACGTGTTCTAGTGATGCCATTCTTCTGAAAGTGTTGATTTCTGGTACCCAGCTAGCTTAGCTTTGGCTGCGGGAAGCACAGTAGGTACCCATGGTTATTTCCTGGAAATCTTGGCAGGCTTATTGTACTGTGTAACTGGGAAAAGTTAAAGTGTAATGTTTAGTGTTAATAAGTGACTGATGTGAAAGTAGGAACATGTGTCTATAATATCAAATATGGCTTTATTTGCAGTGAAGTCTAAATTTCTTGTCCTGTAGTAGTATTTTCTTGCTCTGTGTTGTACCTTTTCTTAAATACATTATTCCTGACAGTATCATTAGATGAGTTGTATACACTTAGAAAGTGTTTGACTAGAAGAGATCAATCCAGAAACTGTGTTAAATTAGAGTCTTCATCTGGAATCACCATAGTAAATTAAATAAAATCATGGTCCGGAAGAGAACAAACATTCATAAAGGGTTTTTTTTTTCCTACTGCTCATTTTAAAGTTGTATTTACATCCAGTCTCTGATATTTATAAAGTATTTCATTGTTTTTCCAGGCTCTTCTTTTATTTAACTAGGAAATAGTAGTTCAGATTTTTCTTAATGCCAGATGAAATGAGAAATACAATTTTTGCTTAAAAAAGGCAATTTTTTAAAAAGCATTCAATTTGGTAATCATTTATCTTAATGCAGTTAGATTTGACTTTTCTTTGCTCGCCACTTATATACTATGGGTGTTTTTTAAAAATGTATTGTGCTCTGTCTCAGATCACCTTGTGTAATGGATTGTAAAGGTTGGTAATTGTCATTCCTCAGACTTCTGTATATTAAATTGGCAACAGTAAAATAGTTTAATGTCATTACCTCTTAAATATTGCATTGTATTAACACGCTTCATGTTTTCAGGGGGAGTTTGAAATATAACTAAACAAATAGGAATTTACATTTCACTGTGCGTGCATTTTTTTCCTCATAAAAATAGTTTCCAAAAAAAGTGACATATTATCTGTTAGGTGGTCCCAGTCATTTTCAGAGTACTCCTGTTACTCAAAAGTAATTCATGACAGTTAGCATCATTGTGACTCATTGTCTCAAAAAGGTCTGTGTAATGGTCAAATTGTCCAATTCACAGAAGAGTGGGAAAGTTGTTTTCAATATTGCGAGTGTTCTTCACCTTCTGTCACCTTGCATAGCACCACCCCGGCCCCTCTGTGTCTGCTACTCCCAGTCCATTCCATTCCCTCTTTTCTAATACCGATTGCAATCTTCAGTATCACAGACGCGGCCTGGCAGCATGGAAACCGTTCCCCAGCACCTCCTGGCACGAAGACAGCTCTGCCCAGCTCACGTGTGGGCTATCTCGATAAGGCACAGATCCCCCTGGGGAAGCAGATGCCGGGTGTTATTTGCCATGAACTTTGCTAAACCATGTACACTCTTGCCCACATCTTTCGTGAGAATGGTTGGCACTGAGGATCCATGGAGAAGAACTTTTTAAAAATTCTGTTGAGGACTCAGACTCACAAATGCAGAAAAATGAGCACTGTGCTCTAACCAGGTAAGCTCACAGGTCCCCTACAAGGTATTGAGATTGGAGGGAAATCCCTGGAACAGCAGACCAATAGCTGCCCATAAAGTAGAAGGGCACTGATTATTTTGAGAGGGAAAAAAAAACCCAAAAAACTCTTTTCTGTAAGAATTAATCACTTCTAGAGTAAATTATGTGTAACATTTCTTAGCCACGTAGCTATTGCACCCCATCCCCTGAGAAACAGTGCTTATGAGTTATGTGAGTTATAACTAGTTTGAGCTCCTCTCCAGGTCTCAAGGAAATGAGAACGTTCAAGCATCTGACTCTGGAGTTACCAGATGTTGAACATAACTTGGCCATTTATAGGCAAAATCCCTGCTGTTTGGTGATGTTAGGTGATCCAGTGGCTGAGGGTCTCACGTTCTGCACACCTGAGGATCCAGAATGTGTTTAGTTTTGATTCTTTTAACCTTCACTCTCATCATAGCTTATTTGAATGGGTATCTAGAGTGTAATATTTTTTTCCAAATTAACAGAACAGATATGTTCATTCTCATTATACATTTAATTCTTAAAAGCCTATCTAGTATATCAGTTAGGCACCCTTCACAGGACAGTTAAGGCTAAAACAGAGAGACCAGTCTCGTCCCCTGGAGCCTGCATTTCAGAACCGACTTGTCGCAACGTCTGGTTTTATTTTGTTTTGTTTGTTTTTTTAACTCAACAAGTGGGAAACAATGAGTGTAAACAAACTCTTTCCTTTTCCTTTTTTAAGCTTAAGGAGAAAAAGAAATGTAATTTTAGCTCCTCATTTAGGTAGTAAAGGCTTCCCTGACAGACAGCAGTGCCTTTCCCTAGGCAAAGAGACTAGAACCAAAGGCCTGAGTCGGTCTTTGAACATTCCTTTGACAAGTTTTTATGTATTTTTAATGTCAGACCCATAGATGAACCTGACATGATGATCATGACCCATCCAGTAAGTGTGCTTGCTTTTTTCGCATTCATCTTTTTAAATATAAGCTTCTCTGTTTTTCCTGGAGCCGTGCTCGAAACTTAACTCCTGTGGGCTACTCCGCGGCTGCCTCCTGATGTCCTGGAGATTTGGTGGCACCATCAGCAGTGCTTTGCTCTCAGGGAGAAGCTCGTGGAACGTGTTGGGAAAGTTGAATTTTACATCCACGTCAACAGGCGTTTGAAAGAGTCCTGTATGCCTCAGATTTTTGACCCTTTTTAAAATTTTTTCTTTATTTTTTTTCTGAGTACCAACTACATATTTGATTCTCAGGGGGTGGGTAGGGCAGGAATTAGAAGTAAAATTTGAACTAAGTGATGTGGGAAAGACTTCCTGCCCCTGTGTGTGTGACTCTGGAAAATATTTTATTCCAATGCCCTGCCTACCACTCTGAGTCTCTTGAGAAGCACACCGTAAATGTATATAAGATTGAGAAAGAATATCTCAAAGACTTAAATTATTGTTTAGGTATTTTTTTCTTTGTAAACTCAGGAATAAACCTGGTTTGTGCATGGCAGAATATGGCTACCAAAGCTATAATTTGTAGGTAACTAGGTGCATTCTTTCAAATATATTTCATTCTAACTTTTTTAAAAACTGGGGAAAGAAACTCCTAGTAATGAAAAACCAAAACCAACAAGAGACTTCCATAAACTCTTTCTAGAAGAACATAGTATCAGTCTAACCTCTGCCCCAGAGTGTTTGTTTCTTGCCTATAGTATTTCAACAATTTTTATGGGAGAAAAAAATGCACGTTTTTATGTCTTGGAAAAATGAAAAGTATTGAATTAAATTCTCAGAGGGGACAGTTTAGTTTAAAGAGAAGCATTGGTTTTGGAGATCAACTCATGGCTCTGTGGTCCCCGTTCCAGCACTGACTTTACTGTGTGACCTTGAGCAAATGATTAACTACTCCGTACCTCAGTTTCTCCATATACAAAATGGGGATAATGATACCAACCATTGCCTACCTCATAGGGATGTTATGGGGGCAAATGAGATAATATAAATACAAATGCTTTGAATTCTGTAAGAAAGGTGCTATATAAGTTGAAATTGTGTTATTTTTAATGATCCAATTATTAATTATGTTTAAGGTTTAACTAATAGCAATACTGTTAGTCATGTTAAGAATAAGTTTCAACTTGATGCATATTTACAATTCTCTTCTGTGGCCAGATCTTGATCATTTATCCAGTAATGGTACCTAAGGAACTGAAATGGATATTTGTTTTCTGTGTATTTTTGCCCATAGTATTTCTACGCTGTATGTTCCCAAAAGGCTGGAGTTCAACTTGTCCTATCTTATAGTTTACATGTAATGAACCTTACTCAAGCTGTATATAAAAGTATAATTACATGTAAATAGCAGGTGCATTGTAATTAAAGGCACTTATCAACTTGTCTTTGTTCTTTTTTAATTGCAATAAAGTTCAGTTTTACATAAAAGCTTGTTAACATTCATTTACTATTTGGGAAGATCAAGAATGGCTCATTTACATGCCCTTAGGGCATCACCAGGGTTTGAGGGTTTTACCAACCAACTCACCACCTGGCAGGAAGGAGGTCGTGCCTGATGAGCAGGCTGTGCAGTGGAGTGATTAGAGTCACAGACTCTGCAGAAAAAGACCTGAGTTTGAGTCCCAGCCCTGTGGTGACTTTGAGGAAGCTGTGAGACCTCTCTGTACCCCTGTTTTCACCTAAGAAGTGAGGGATCGTAGTATAGAACCTACTAGCAAGGTCGTCTTGGTCATCCCCAATGAGGGACTGAGCATGGCACTGGAAGATGCTAAATGCTCTGTAAATGCTAACAGACCCTTTTCACAAGCCTGGGAAAATGTTGGTGACATCTACCCACAGAGCCAGCCATTCCTGTGAAGAAATGCAAGCTGAGAGCAAATAATGCCCCAGGCCATGAGGAGAGCCCACCTGCTTGAGGGCAGAAAGGGGTGTAACCCAGCAGGAGGTCTCAGAGCAAATGGCTTTGGTCAGCATCTGACGCTGGTTGCCCCTTTCCTAATCACCAAAGACAGACCTGGAGGCCAAAAGGTGAAGCGAGGGAGGGCTCTCTTTGGCATGCTCCTGTATCATTTGTGTTTGTGCCCCTCAACTCCAGGATACCCCCAAACCCACAAATTTCCTCTTATAAGACCCCCCAGACCTGACACCCACCCACCCACCCACCCCCCGGGCCTTTCCCATGCTCCCTTCTTTGGCCCCTTCGCATCTGTGCAGTTATAAGTACTTACCCTGTTCCAAATTTGCCCTGGACTGACCTGCTTATTTCTAAGGAACCAATGCCTCCCTGTAACAGTAAGTTACTATCCTCACTTAACTCCTAGACTATCGACGGTTTAAGGAGTTTGCTGCCTGTCACAGTCTTGGGCCCAAATCACCCTTAACGCACCCTTGACTCTCATGATGAACATTGCAAATCCATGCACCATGTCTGAGTCTGAGCTCACCCTGGGGCTTTGCTTTCTCGCACATGATGCAAAGTAATGATGGCAACCTCGAGGAAAAAGCAGGAAGAGCCAGACCATCTCCATTTCAAACTCCTCCTTCATTTCTCACCACGTGGGGGAATTTCCTCTCCTTTCCCAGAGCTGTCCGGCCCAACTCCATTCTGTGTGCTGAGGCTCTCAGTTAAAAGTTTGTCCTGAGTCTTTGGATCACAGAATCAGGTTTCCCACCTGGACTACCTGGGGAAACTGACTTTCTGGGGCTTAGCAGTTTGGTCGATTTTCAGTCACTTACGGAATGGAGTAGTTTTGGCAGTCCTGCCGGAGGTAGGCTGCCAATTCTAGGACGTGTGTTCATGAGGGGGACTGGAAAATTCTGAGGCCCTAGTTAAGTTGAGCCAAAAATACTCCACCCTTGTTTGCTATTGTTAAAAATCGTTCATTGGTCTACCTTTCTACCTCTGTGAAACTGCTCTGTGATTGTTTTTAATTTTTTTAATGACACAGGGCATTACTGTCCCTTAAAATCACCATTCTGAATATTTGCTCTCATCTAAGATGATTGTTAAAATCTCAAGGCTGGACCTTGAGGGCTCCAGAGCCAACTGTTTACCAGGCATCACATCTGTTTCCAAGATTTCTCCATCTGTGTGTCCTGATGTCATCTCAAATGTGATCATTCTGGAGCAGAGAGCATCTTTCCCAGCTGCACCCCTTGCCCTTTGAGGCACGGTTTAACTTCTAAGTGTTCCCCGTGGCATATACCACAGTTTCCTGCACACAGCAAGCATTAAATAAGTGTCTGATCTGATTTGAATTCTCATACCTCTCTATCATCCATAATCCTATGAGCCTCTCTTAGACCAGTGTTTGTGAACTCTTAGGATTTTATACTTGAGCTCTTCTCCTCCCAAAAGCCTCTCTGTGACTGTGAATTTCTGAAGAGATGGCAGAGTGACAAGGTAGGGATGTCCTCTAAGTGAAACCAGCTCCAAAACTGATGGCCAGCGGAGGAGGGGAAACATCTGACTTGTAGATAAACAGCACCACAACCTGGCAGAGTTGTCTTCTAAAACAGAAAAGGCATTCAAAGCAAACAGCTTTAAATGCTCAAGTCCAAAATAAAAAAAATAATACTAATTGCAACATCAAAGTAGAGAAACAAGAAACAGGAAAACAAAGGAAACCACAGAAAAACCACTTTTTACTGAGCACTTACTAAGTGCCAGGCCCTGAGAAGCAGCATAGAAGAAAGGCAAACTCCTGCCTCATCGAGCTCACCTTCTGACAGCCCCAGGGCTTACCTTTAAATGCCTGACATGCACATTTAAATTCTCAAGGTGTTCACTATCTCAGTATCTCAGCTGGTTGCAGCAAGTCTCTGGAGATCCATGTTAGATACCAGGGTCCAGAAAGGCCTCTGTGAACAGTTTATAGTTAAGGTGAGACTGAAAGGATAAGCCAGAAAGAGAGCGTTCCAGGCATGGGATAAACCAACTTCCATAGTGTCACCAGGATTATCCTTCTAAAAAGCTGGCCTGTTTTGGTAGGGAGAAAAGGAGAGACTTCCTGATAAGGTAATTATTAAGTACCTACTATTTCCTAGGCACTATTCTAGATTCTGAGGCTACCATAGTACATAAAACAGACAAGAATTACTGTTCCAATGAAGCTTATGTTCCAGTGAAGGAAGAAAATAATGATTTATCAAAACAAATTCCAGATCATAAATGTGGTGAATGAAATAAATAAGATGCAATAAAGTAAATAAAATGAAACAGAGAGAAAGTAGTGGTTTGGGGGGGAGTGGTGGGGGGAGTGGGAAGGGATGATGTGTTTCATCTTAAGTGAACAGGGAAGACCTGAATGACCAAGAGGAGCCATACAAAATTTGGGAAGAAAAACATTCCAGGAAAAGAAAATAGCAAGTGCAAAGGCCCTGGGGAGGAAAAGAGGCTGGTATGTTCCAGGACCACAAAGGAGGCTAGGGTGGCTATAGCACAGCAGTGGAGAGTAGTAAAAAGGGAAGTCTGAAAAGGTGGGGTGAGAGCCCATGCAGCTGAGTAGATTAAGATACGGAATTGCCCTGTGATTCTTGGAGCAAAGAGAAACCATTGAAAGAGTATAAACAAAAATTTGGGGACAACTGGTTTTCCATATGAAGAATAACATAAAATTGGACTCTCAATTTATACCATAAATGAAAATAAATTTCATATGAATTAGAGAGGCAATCATAAAGAACAAACATAATAAAACAATAACCTATAACAATACAAACGTGCAATTTCTCAGACTCAATTCTATATGTATTTAGTTGTATTAGCTCATTGGATCTCCAAAACAACTGCAGTGACTTAAATACCCTTAAATACTTTTATCTGTACGAATGACCAAGCTGAAGCACAGAATTGTTGACTAAATTACCCAGCTTTTAATGGCAAAGATAAGATTTGAACTCAGTTTCACTGCAGGCCTGAGTTCTTAATCACAATTGTTCTATGGGAGATCTTTTATTATCGTTTAGAACCAAAGGATTTCTTAAGCAGCTGACCCTTGAACAATGCGGGGAGTTAGGGGTGATGACTCCCACACAGTCGAAAATCTGAGTATGTATATATTTATAGTCGGCCCTCTCCATCTGCGATTCCATGTCCTCAGATTCAACCAATTGTGGACCACATAGTACTGTAGTACCTATTTATTGAAAAAAATCTGCACGTAAGTGGACCCACGCAGTTCAAACCCGTGTTGTTCAAGGGTCAACTGTCCAGAAAAACCACAAATAATAATACCTTTTAAAGGACACTGATATGTTTGACTCTATAACTTTACAAAATTTCTTTGTAAAGGTTTAAATATATGCATCGGTGTAAGACGCAACATATGTAAGGACAGCATATGTTGTTTGCTGTTTTGTTCGCTGCCATATTCTCATTCCCCCACAAGTAGTGTGCACACAGTGGGAGCTCAGTAAACATGCATTGCAAGGATGGATGACGGATGGGTGGAGGCTTGTGTGGGCCATTGTCCGGGCTCTATGCTAGGTGCTGGCAATACAAATGTGAATCAGACAGACTTCTCCATATCCCCTTGAGCTCTCAACCTTGTGAGTGACGTAGGTAACATTTGCAGATACAATGGCAAGGAGCCGAGAGGCTTCAGTCTGAGGTACTTGGAGTTTGTACTAGAGGACGCTGAGACCAGTTTGGACAAGATGAGGGCTTGACCAGAGCAGAAGGAATAGGGAAAACAAAGATGCTAACTCTAGACATAAATAGGTAGTAAAACAGAAGGGATCTGGTGATTGATAGGTCTAGGGGATTGGGGGCATACAAGAAAACTCTTGGGTTTTTGGATAGATGATGGTAATATTAATGCACTAAATACAGAAGGAGAGGATTTGAAGGGGGATAAATAATGATTTCAGTTTGAGCTTTGAATACCCACATCTCCATTTCCACAACTAGTAGTGTAATATTTACCTATTTGTTTTAATATTTACCTATTGGTAAATATTTTGGTTTCAAATTATTGGTTTCATAATTAATCAATAATATTGCTCTGATGGGCTTCCCTGGTGGCGCAGTGTTTGAGAGTCCGCCTGCCAATGCAGTGGACACGGGTTCGTGTCCCGGTCCGGGAAGATCCCACATGCCGTGGAGCGGCTGGGCCCGTGAGCCATGGCCGCTGAGCCTGCACGTCCGGAGCCTGTGCTCCGCAATGGGAGAGGCCGCAGCAGTGAGAGGCCCGGGTACGGCAAAAAAATAATAATACTGCTTTGAGCTTCTTGGTGACATATATTATGTAATATCATACCATGGGGAGGGGGGGGGAGATGTAAACTCTCCAATCATAATAAATTGGAAAATTATGGAGTTTCCATTGAAACATAATTAACCAGACATGATCCAAATCCGTGGGTCCTTCCGCGTGCGGG